CCCCCCCCCCAGAGCTGAGGACCGAACCCAGGGCCTTGCACTTGCTAGGCAAGTGCTCTACCACTGAGCTAAATCCCCAACCCCGGATCTCTGTGATTTGGAGGCCAGCCTGGTTCAAAGCAAGTTCCAGGATAGCCAGGGTGTTATATAGAGAAAAACAAAACAATGATGACAACAGCAACCAAAACAAACAAACAAAAAGACAAAGGAAGAGGAGATACTTGAAATGAATGAACCTCTACTGAGTAGAGACAAAGAACCTGTTACTGCTGTCTTCCCTTCGTTGGGGCACTGTGAGGGTTGGGAACTCTGCAAGGCCTAAGTGAAGAATTTTGTCTGGAGCTTGTATTTTGTTAATTTATCTGTCCTTCCTCTCCTGCCATATTTCCTGAGAGGGGGTTCTAGACCAGTCTGTGGCTTCTGTCTGTGCTCTGCCATGTGGCTGGCCATCCACCACTCATGTGCCTTTATTGCTCATTTCAGAAAGATTTCCGAGTGCAGGAACTTCCACTGGCTCGTATTAAGAAGATTATGAAACTGGATGAAGATGTGAAGGTGAATTCACGTTATTTTTAAGGTTCATATTAGAGCTAAACTTTTGAGTATTGCTCATTCCTTTAGGGCTCAAAGTTAAACAGAAATGAAAATATTATGATATGTTGCCTATGGTTTTATTTGGTCTAAAATGAAGTGACCTTAAATTGAACAGTTTTAATTATTATATGATGTTTCTTTGAAAATCAGGCATATTATGGGAGTTTTTCCCAAATACTTAGTGGTTGCTTCTGAGATCAGGTGCTGTTCCTAGTTCCTTTCTCTTCAAAAGGTAAACATTTTTATAATTCAACAGAACATTGCTATTCTCTCAGCGTCCTGCTGCGATCTTTTGTCTTCTTCAGAGCTATGAAAAAGGTCTACTGGAGCTGGAGAGATGGCTCAGTGGTTAAGAACACTGGCTGTTCTTCCAGAGGATCTGGCTTTGATTCCCAACACCCACATGGTAGCTCACAGCCTTCTGTAATGAGATCTGGTGCCCTCTTCTGGCCTACAGGGACACATGCAGACATGTGTCACCTCATTATGTAGCCCAATTTTTCCCCTCTCGAGTACTGGGATATTCTAGGCATATGCTACCATGCATGTCCATTTTACAGCTGTGGGAGTATGCACAAAGATGAAATGACCATCTGTATTGGTAGAGCCAAGATCCTAGTTCTCGTCTTATATATTGTTAACTCTATAGTGCATCTGTCTCTGTATTCTTTACAGCTTTGGTTGAACTTGAAAGTCAGACATATTAAGACAGCTTAGTATTTTCAGGCACTGTGCTGGTTACACAGGCTACTCCTACTTACTTCTCCTAGTAACACTGGAGGTTTATCTTTGTTTTTTGGTGTTTTTTTTTTTTTTTTTCCAGTTTAAGAAAAATAAAGCCCAGCCGGGCGGTGGTGGTGCACGCCTTTAATCCCAGCACTCGGGAGGTAGAGGCAGGTGGATCTCTGTGAGTTCGAGGCCAGCCTAGGCTACCAAGTGAGTTCCAGGAAAGGCGCAAAGCTACACAGAGAAACCCTGTCTCGAAAAACAAAAACAAACAAAAACAAAAACAAAAAAAAAAAAAAAGAAAGAAAAAAAAAGAAAAAGAAAGCCCAGAAAAGTGAGAAATGTGAGATTTTACCCAGATCCATTGGCACCCAAGCTTTCCTCACATAGTTTCTTGGAATTAGAATCTAAACTCTGCCACCTACTGGCTCTGTAGCTATGGCCATGTCACTTACTTTTTTTTTTTTTTTTTTTTTTTTTTTTGGTTTTTTGAGACAGGGTTTCTCTGTGTAGCTTTGCGCCTTTCCTGGAACTCACTTGGTAGCCCAGGCTGGCCTCGAACTCACAGAGATCCGCCTGGCTCTGCCTCCTGAGTGCTGGGATTAAAGGCGTGCGCCACCACCGCCCGGCATCACTTACTTTTCTTAACCGTACTTTCTTTGAAAGGCTGCTAGGGAGGTTAAAAAAAAAAAAAAAAAAAAAGCACCTATATGCCTATAATCCCAGCATTGGGAGGTAGAGGCAAGACAACCCAGCATCTAAGGAGTCTGGCCTGTGTTACAAGAGACACTGACCAAGGCAAAAAGTGAACACCATGGATGGGGCTGACAGTGGCAGGCACTAGATAAGTAAGCATCCTTCTCCTCTTCCCTTCTTCCTGTTACCTGTCTTACCCCTACTCAGGGATTTATTTCACTCTGGACTTTCCAGAGGCCATCACCTTTTTTTTTTTCCAGCTCTTGTCCCAAGGTAGGTATTGACACAGGAGACTGACTGGCTTGAATGTTTTCTCTGGTGATTGACAGTGTGGGCCTACAATCTCTTCCAGATGATCAGTGCAGAAGCCCCTGTGCTCTTCGCCAAGGCAGCCCAAATTTTTATCACGGAGCTGACTCTTCGAGCCTGGATCCACACGGAGGACAACAAGCGCCGTACTCTTCAGGTAATGCTGACTGACTTCACATCAGGAAACTAGGGTAAACCCTGCCTTCCCCTGCCCTGTCCTCTCCAGTGCTATGGACTGATAGCCTCTGCCAAGCTGATATGTATTAGGATCTTCCTCTGTTGGAGCACAGGTATACTTGGTAGGCACATGATGATATTTCCTTCTAAGAATGTTAGTTTCCAGTTCTCACATGGTTTTCACAGCTCGGGATGGAGCTCTCTCTTTGGTTGGTGCACCTACGTAGAGGCAAGGGCTCAGTGGTCCACTGTTTGTCTGTCTCCAGATGGGCTTCTGGTTGGAAGCCCAGAGCCGTCAGAAAAAGACAATCCCAGAAAGAATTCAAGGTCTCACTAACTGCAAGATTTTTTTTTTTTATTCCTTGTTTGTCTTCCTTGAAATTGTTTCCTTTTGTGCTCTTTTTGTTTTGTTACTATTTTTTGTTTGTTTGATTTGAGGCCTCACTGAGTAACTCTGGCCAGCCTAGAACTCATTATTTATTATGTAGACCAGACTGACCTTGAACTCACAGAGATCCATCCACCTGTCATTGTGCTCTCTTTATTTTAACTTAGCAAGTCAATATTTATATTGTATGTAGAACCTTTGGTGATATTAATTCCCAAAACCCTTTCCATCAGCTAGGCACTAGCCCTAAACAGCAGTTCTCAATCCATGGGTCATGGCCCCTTTAGGGGGTTGCATATCAGATATTTATATTATGATTCATAACCGTAGCAAAATTATAATGATGAAGTAGCAACAAGATAATTGTATATTTGGGGGTCACCACAACATGAGGAACTGCATTAAAGGTTTGAAACATTAGGAAGGTTGAGAAAAGGTGTTCCAGATACAAAAGAAAAGATGTGATAGATACAAAACACTGAAAGTTTTGTTTTGTTTTGTTTTTCGAGACATTGTTTCTTTGTGTAGTTTTGGTGCCTGTCCTGGATCTCACTGTGTAGACCAGGCTGGCCTCAAACTCACAGAGATCCGCCTGGCTCTGCCTCCCAAGTGACCTCCTTCTCCAACTCTAGGCCTGAAATCCTTGATTCTCCCAAGGCCAGGACTATAGGCTTCTGCCAACATGCCTAGCCACTGTTCAAAAAATGTTAAATTTTAAAAAATTGTCTCTCACATGTGTGAATGTGTATGTATGCGTGCACATATCTCTATAGAATAATATGCATATGGAAATTGTAAAACTTTATATACTTATTAAAGTAATTCTGTAAGTCTAGGAAGATCTTGTAAAAGCTGCTGTCCAAGTCAATTGAGATTAAAAAGTAAAATGGGGGAAAGCACTTGAACAGCCCTCTTATAAAAGATGATGGCTGGAGGCAAGATGGCTTAGCCAGGAGAAGTGCTTCTCTCTCTCTCTCTCTCTCTCTCTCTCTCTCTCTCTCTCTCTCTCTCTCT